GGGGGCCCCCGGGGCCACCCGCCCCCGCCCCGCACCACGCGCCTCCACAGCCCGCAGAGGAAAGATCGAGATGGGCTTCGCAGCTTCAGCAGAAAAGCCGCCCTTCCCGTCCGCGGTCCGCAGCTGCAAAAGTGCAGCGCTTTTCCCTAGCGCTTCCCCTTTCCTCCGCCCCATCCTCTAGCCTATTTCTTCTTTTTCTTCTTAAAAAAGGAAAACTCCAACAACACACAAAGAGCTGAGCATGTGCAGCAAGCAAAAGTCTTAAAGGCACCGCAGTCCGACCACTGAGGGGTCTGCAAAGGCGGGGGACGGGGACTGAGAGGGCTGCAAAGCCGTTTCCGCAGAGGGACCTCTCCAAGGGGGAGCCATTTCTTGCACAGAACTAGGAGCCCCCCACCCGCAACAAAGAACGGAGAGATTCGGAGCCCCGTGCGCGCCACCCCTTCACGAAGCTGCCTTGGCACCCCACGTATCTCCTATTCTGCTTGACAGTGTTTCCTCCTCCATCTGGGACAATATTCTGCCTCAAAAAATATTGTAACATTGTCTGGGTTTGGGGGTTTTGCTTTGTTTTTTTCAGAAGAGCAGAATTGACCAGAAAAAAGCCGTTTTCCTTCCACAGCAACGATCTTTCTTCCTTCAGATGACTTTCCAGGATTTGATGGCACATGCTAAAATTGTTGCTTTGTACTTTCCTCTCTTCTCCAAACAGGCTTTTTATTTGAACCCTTGAAAAAGGAAGCCGAGCACAAATTGCAGCCCTGTGTCTGTGAGTTACAGTAATGTTACTGGAGCCCCACCAAAAAAGAGCAGGCAGTAGGGAAAAGAATCTGAGGCATTTCTGACGACAAAAGGAGAAAAAGTTTTACTCCTAACACACAATCAAAATATTATTGTTAAGATTCAACTCGTGTTTATTTTGGGTATATTGTAGTCCTGTCATCTCCTTTAATCTCCCTTATCCCCACTTTGTGGATGAAATCCTCCATTAACCTCATTTTGCAAATGAGGAAAAAGAGGCTGGAAATGTTGAAATACTGGCCAATGACAAGTTAGAAGTAAGTAATGAACAGAGCTTTAAACACAAGTCCCTTGATTGCTGTGCTTTTTTTTCCCCCCACTATTTATTTACCAGGCTGCTTCTATTAGCAGAGGCTTTGTTCTTCCTTTGGTGAATAAAATATAAGTGTTGGCCTGGTTTGCAAATACCTCAGCAGTGACTTAAGAAGGAACACAAGGGTCCAACAAGAGATGACTTCTTCACAATCCAAAAACACAAAGGAAATCCATGATTCTCATTGGCAGAACAAATAAATCATCATTTCTACCTAATATTAGCACCAACGATTCATCAGGAAACCTAAAATTAGAACAGCTCCTTGTTCCTTTCATGTCTTTTCCACATCAGATGCCCTTTAGAGACTCTTGAAATGAAAGGAATGGGAGAACACTCTATTTAAAAAAATAAAATAAAAGGATGTTATTCTAGATCTGCCTTTTAATTCCATGGCAGCAAGACCCAAAAAACTCTTTCTAGTGTCAGCATACATGAACAATCTGCTGTTTTCCTGTTCTTCTCCATCTGCCAAAGTTTAACATCAGCCACAGCTTTCTCACATCTCATGTATAGTTGCTTTCAGACATGTAGATAGTGGCCAAGCTCTTAAAACCGTCAGTGAGTATGAAGGTAATTCAAAGGGTCCCGTTAACAAGAGAGACATCACACGCTGACTGTGGCCCGTGTTTGAGGAAAGAACTTGCCCATTAAAAAAATACATCTTTTAATCATGTAACCATTGTGACCAGCTCAGTGCATTGTACTGACTGAAGAACATGCAGCCCCACAGGCCTCTCAATATTGCGTTTCGGATCAACCTGAATCTATTAAATTTATATGAAATTATTCTACAAGGATCTCATAGAATTTTTACCTACCATATATCATATTTCTCTTTCAAACTGTTTTAGTCCACATGTATATTATGAATTTAAGCAAGAGAAAGCAAAGGTGAACAAAACATAGCTTCTGCCTTGAATAAGTTTATCTATCAGACTCACTCGACTGTGAGCTCCTTATACAGTCGACTAACATATATTTTACAAATGTAGACACAGAAAATGTACATGATTTTAAATGGTTGCGTGTGCGCGCGCGCGCGCACACACACACACACAATCAATGACAAAGCTCACCAGGAATCTTGACTGATGTTTCAGTATCTTCTGTAATCAAGAAATTTTAAAACTCCAACATGATGTTATCTTTTTTTTAAAGACGTAGAGTCAGCATCCTAACAGTGATATATGACACTAAAATAATTCATAGTATTGGTAATAGCAGTCATAAATCTAGCAGAAAGGTGAAATTTTACTCCAAAAAGGCGGGGGCAGGGGAGTCAGTTTTACTGAAGTCTGTTGAAACTGTTAAGAATTATATATTAAAAATTCTCCAGGGATAAACATAAGAAAAATATATTTGTCTTCTTCGCAATTTATCAGGACTTGCAGATATTTGGGGGAGTGTGTTTTATTTCTGTTCACACCACTTACAGTGATATTGTAATATGATGAGCAAAAATTAAGACCAAATCATTTAAAGGAAATTCAAATGTTTTAAGAGGAACAAGAGAAATGATAGATCCACTGATCTTTTGATTGCTACTCAAAAACGTAAAGATCCTATTTGGACCAGTGAACCAAAGTAGACCCTTCTCAGTTCCTGGATTGAAGAATGATCCCTACTGTAGTTATCGGTCACCATTTGGCTGGTATGAGACTCCTGAAAGCAGCCAAGATAATGACAGCTGCAGGTAGCCTGACCCCAAGACTTGCCATAAGTGCGTTTATTCAAAATGCCTCATTGCAATTGGGGGGGCAACATTTTTTTTTTTGAGAGGTTTTCACTATAGGGCGTGTGCGCTCGCCAGACAGACAGAGAGAGACATAGAGACAGAAAGCGAGAAATCACACCCCAGGGGGGATGGTCACGCCGCAATCCCTTCTCCTCCATTCGCCTCTTGGGATCTTGGGCATGTACACACACACACGCCCGGCGTGAGTTCTAAGCCACCGGGTCCGGGACGCGAACCGTGGTTGGCTACGTGGGAGTCCAGCAACATAGCCATTACGCTAACTGCTGGTTCCTGGGGCAACATTTTTAAAACACTAATAGAGCTTGAAAGATCTGTGAGGTTAGACCATAAAGAAAAGAATCAAGTTTACTCATTCAAAATTATTGATGAAATTAGGGCCGGCAGGCGGTATAGTGGTTAAAGTACAGAACTCCTACAAGGCCTACCATGGTTTGAGTCCTGGACCTGGCAACTTGCTTTCTCACATTCCCTCTCTCTTTTTTCCCTGACTCTCTCTAGTCAAATTGAAAATAATAATAACAATAATAAAAAATTATTTTTAAATTGTTTTAATTTTTAAAAATTATTGATGGTATTAAGAATGTTTATATGGCCATAATCTGAAACACCATCCTCACCCAAACCAAAATCTAACATTCATGTTTTCTCTTGGATTTATTTTTTTCTACCATCAGTTTCTCTTGCTGTCACACTTAGAAACACACTCATACACGCTAATCCTTCTGCCAATTTTTCTTCTTAACACATTTCAAACATATTGTTATAAGTAAATCCAGGGAAATAAATCCAAAAAGTCTAAACTCACTATACTGGGTTAATACAATTTTTTTTGAATGAGAAATAAATGAGCATCTTAAACTGTTCATCCTAAACATTCAGATTAATTACCCCAAAAATGCTGATTATGGCCCAGCTTCTATGGCATGGCCAATGGAGCACTGGACTGCAGAACTGGAAGCCATATGATGATCACAGTTTGAATCCCATTCCTGGTGGGCTGGGAAATTGAAGGAAGGGGACTGTGGCATGATTTAGTCCTATAGAGGGTTTTTTCTCTCTCCTGTGTGTGGATATACACACACACACACACACTCTCTCATCAATTTTTTTAAGTTGATTTTCTAATGAGTAATTACAGAAATTTGTCTGTGGTGAAATTTAAGTCAATAAACATATTGGCCAAGACTTTTTGTTCAATATAATGCATTGAATGTGTGTATTTACCTCTGCTCCTTATTCAAACTCTACCAACATAACAGGAATTATATATTTTTTTCAATATATAAATACAATGACAAAGACAATGAGAAAACTCATAGGGAAGAGGCAGCGATGCATTTGGAAGTGTTAATGAAGGAGGGACGTGAATGAAGAAGTGATAACTAAAACATGTGGCTGCAGAGATGAATAACATGAAACAAACCTGTCTCTCCCGAAACATCAAGAAAAGCCTATAAAGTTAACCTTGGAAGGCAGAGGTGGGACTCTGGGATGAAAACAAGGGGAATGGCTGAAGGCAGAAAAAAGAACCATAGTCCCCTTCCTCACCTCAAGCAACTAAAGTCTACTTTAAACCCAAAGCTGACACAAGGTTTAATCCCTTGGGAAGTTGAAGTTCCAGATTTGGCACACCAAACGTAATAGGAGGGAGTGAAGTGAACAGCTGAGGCTAGAGAGAATAAGTGGGAACCTCCATATTGAATCATGCAATTTTCCTGCTCTCTTTTACTACTGGTTTTCAGGACACCTACGGCCAACTGAATAACCCCCAGGCAGAAAACTGAAGGATTCTTATTTGCAGAAGTGGAGTAGTTCCAAAACAAAAGATACTGTCATTTGAAGTCATCCAACCAGATGACAAGCCAGCTTCTGCTTACACTACAGTAAAGCCTGCAAGGCAGAGTAAGCCTTACCCAATCCTTTTTTTCACAATTTCCTAACAAATGTGTCCCATAAGGTTTTACTAAACATAAAAGAAACCAAAACAAGCAAATTGACAAAAGAAAATCAGAGGAAACAGCCAAGTGTATGAAAAGATTTTGCAATTGTGAGACAAGAACTGGACACTCTTTTTTTTTTTAAATATTCGTTTTATTTATTCATTCGCTTATTTTAATTTGACCAGAGAGCGACACAAAAAGAGAGAGAGGGAAAGTGAGAAAGCAAGTGACCAGGTCTGGGACTTGAACCATGGTCAGCCAGGTGGGAGTGTCCAGTGCCTTAACCACTACACCACCCGCTGGTCCCCTGAATACTCTTTTTAAAAACATAAGGGGGGAGCGGGGCGGGGGACTGCAGGTG